CGCAGACGTTACCGACAGACCAGCTCCCTCAGCGACTGCAGGAGCGTCCGGGGTGGCTGAAGACGACACACACGAAGCGGACACACAGGAAGCGGACACACGATGCAAACACACATGAAGCGGGCGCACACGAAGATGACACACACGGAGCGGATACACACGAAGAGGACCGCGTCGAGAGTCCGGAGCCTCCATCCCTGTCAAGGAGGCCGACTGATCCGGTTGACCTGCAGCTGGAAAGGCCACCATTTGCAAGCAACGAACCGGGTGCAGTTTATGGACCGTCACGGGCTCCAGCTGAGGTCCGAGGAGGTGACCCACTCAGCCCAGCATCTCGCGCAGTCCGGCTTGTCTCACCGCAGGAGTTTCCTGGATATCCGAAAGTGAGTTTTTTTATCCGAATTTCTTCCTTAAACCGATAAAGCAGCAATGACAAAATAACATTAAACAGACCCCAGATCGCCCATACGATCCTTTAGAAAACATTGTTCATTGTTGAACTGCCTTATATTTTCGTGATTATAAATTTCCTCTCATTTTCACCTTTCCTATGTTCGTTAGTTATGGTGTAATTCCGTAAAATATAGTTTTTTAATGGATAATTTTGTAACTCGAAGTATCCTCCAGTCGGCCATGTTGTCCAATGCCTATGCCTATGTTCCATAACCGTATCCTTACACTTCCTGGTCCTCCATCTTTTAAGGCAGGACCCAAGGTGCAGCCGAGTCGTCGAGGGCGAAAAAAGGAAAGACCATGATAGCTTCGAGTACACCAGAGCTGCAGAGAAAAAAGAGGAAGAGGAGAAGAAGACCCGAAATACGCAGGCCAAACACGAGCGTGTGTCAAAGCAACTGTTCGATGCCAAGAGCAACACCGCTGACACGAAAGGTAAGAAGGGAAAGCTGGGAGGTGCAAAGGACTTGCCAAAGGCTGACGATAAAGCGTCGTGTCTGTACTGTGGGATGCAGTAAAGGCTCAGCTGTGAATCGTGCATCCAGTGTACAACATGCAAAAAGTGGGCGTGCTTGCCGTGTACCGACCCAACAGCCTGACAGGCACAGTTTGTATGTGACCTCTGCCGAGACTGGTGATCCACTCATCCGCTGTATCCGATATGATCCGCTGTGTCGCGGGTATCGCATTGGCTGTGCTGATTTAACGTGATTAGTACGATGTGTGGGAAGCTTTGTGACCGTTTACGTTGTTAAATGGGTGCCTAGGATATGTACCGATATTGTTAGTCATGTGATCCGCTGTGTTGCCATCAACGCATTGGCTGTGCAGATTCAACGTGAGTAGCACGATGTTCAGGAAGTGTCGTGACAGTTGCTTTGCCTGTTTGGTGCTTAGACTGCCGAGACTGTGAGTCCTACGATCCGCCGTGCTACAAGTATTACATTGGATGTGCTGAAACGTGATTATGCGATGTGTAGGAAGTTTTCGACCGTTGTCGCTGCTAGTATGTGCCTAGACTGCCAAGGTTGATAGTTATATGATCCGCTGTGCCGCAAGTAGCGCATTGGCTGTGATAATTTAACGTGATTATTACGACTGCAGGTTGTGTGGCGGTGTTGTCTGGCTGTGTAGACTGCCGACATTACTTCTAGCCGGATCTTATGTTAGAAATACCTTCCCGTTGTTGGGGTTCTTCTGCCAAGAACAGAATGGTTATTTGGAGGTGGAAAATATATACTGAGTTCACGTTCTAAAATGTGTCTCAGTTTTAACACGAGATGAATGAATCTGATATGCTACCATTTTCAGCGGAAGGAAACGTTGCCACGACCATTGACAAGCTCCTGAACGCAAGTAGATGGCAGTGCAGTCCGCTCATTTTACCATTTGCAATTTACTTATAGGACATGTAGTCAAGTGGAAACTTTGTCCCAATGCTACTTAGTATGTCTCAATTCATATTCACGTCTGTCCCGATTCTCCTGTGTTCGTCCCGATTCTGCTGTAAATGAAGGCCTTTGTTTTTGCTCCACGCGAGTCGCATCCTACCACAGAGTGAAATTTACCTATTAGTACAGTGCAAATAAATATTCAATTTATTTATTAGTATGGTGCAATGTTACCTAGCTTTCATACTTTTGCTGCAATAACTCTTCAAAGTTGAAGTTGCAAGTGTCCCAATTCTCCCGCCTCTCCCCTACTTACTTCATGACGCAGCCTTGAAATGTGGTGAAAATGATATCGTCATGCAGCCGAAGGCTACGTCCATCCAACATGAAGCATAACAGACACACCGACCTGTGACCCATCCTGCCAGGTCAGCCTACAACAGCTTTGTGGTACGTCAGGCGCCTGATGCGGGCTTGATGCGTAGCAGGTTGTTATGGTACCTGGAGGCCCTCTTACTTACTTACACTTACTTACATTTACTTACACTTACTACTTACTACTTACTTACTTACTTACTTACTTACAGACTGAAATTATACGGCTAACCTAGTACTCCAGGTCCCTTTACTAGTACTTCACCCTTTGAATGCGTTTTCCTAGGTCCAGACGCCAGTCTATCTACCAGAATATACGTTGTTCATTTTTCGGAAATAATATTTGACAACGCCCGACTCGCAGGTTTCACATGAACGTTGACCTGTTTCATGGCATAGTGGCAAGAAAAAAACCGTTGCCAGCTGTGGCCTGCGGCCGGTGGCAGCGGTCGCGCTCAAGGTCAGGCAATGTAAGAGGGCAGGGCAGACTGCGCCGAGCATTGTCGATATACTTTCGCCACCACATGCTGCCGTTGATTTGGAATTGCACGCCCGAGTGATGGGCGTTGGCAGGGATGGCGAATGTCACACAAGCACTGCTTGGCGTAAGCTCTGGTCCCAGAAATCCGTCCATTCAAAAGGTTCAGATAAAATTTTTTTTAAAGATAACTGGAGGGGAAGGCCTTTAGCCCTCTCCCCAACTTGGACCCCCAGCCGCCCTATCCCAATTCTGAGAGAGAGGTGGGCCAAACGCGGGAGAAATTCGTTCGCTAATGAGTTTTGTGAGCAGAATTCATAACTTTTCGCGATTCAGCCCCAACCCATCTCACCTTGCGAAACGCCGCCCTGTATGTGCCGATTGAAGGCCAGCCGTCCTCAAAACGTCGACTCGCGCATCCCAGCCAGACATCCTGTCGGTACTCAGGTCACTTGTTGGCTCTCAAACTAGCTTGCAGAGTAATTAAGAGAATATTGCAAGTCTGCCGACGCGTTTTCACTTCAATTTTACCGTGACGCCATAGGCGTCCCTGAAATGTTGCCAACACCTTTTCGGGATCACGGAACCCAGGGCTATATATTTCGGGATCACGGAACCCAGGGTTGTATATTTCGCTTTGAATGGGCAAAACGAATTCGCTATCTTCAGAGATCGATATGGGTGGCGCAAAAAGAGGTTTGCGGTTAGCACTTGCTTGCGGTTAGCAAAACGCTACCGGCCAATGCGAGGCAAATTACCGGCGACGCCATACCATGACCAACAATTTTAAGCCAGGGACAACATATGAGTAAAAAAGAACATTGGGTATGTTTTTGTCGTCCGTCCCCGTCGGGCAGCCCGGACAATAAACATAAATGGAGGAAATATTGCACGCCATTATGTAACATAATTTCTAGCATCCCGCGACTCACGTTTCATTTTGCAAACCGCACGAGCCACCAGTTGACGCTCCTCAGGCAATACGAGGGCCTGTCTGTTATTACCTTACCTCCTGTTCCCATTACATTTACTCCTGCCACCCTAGCGTGATAATGCATGCAGGAACGAGAGCGAGAAAAAAGTAATTACATACGCTAGATAAACACAATCTCGGCAAAGTGTAGACATGCTCCTGTCAGAAATTATTTCGCATCACATCTTGCTTCCGCTCAGTCTCGCCAGCGCTCAGCACTCATATCGCATGCCGCTTGCCCCACCATTCTGCCGAATGACTGCAGACAGGCAGCAGCAGCATCCGTTGACTCAGGACGTGGGTGTGTGAGAAAATGAGGCGATGAAGGAACAACCCATACCGGAACAATACGAATTAAAGTAGATACGGACTCTGACTAGGAAACAAATTCCGCAACAGGCAGTTCCAAAATGTAACGGAACCGCCGGGCACGTCAAACATGATTCAGGACCCAATCACTACTTGAACCCAGGTTTGATGATCCCGGCAAAATCATTAGACCTGCTTCCATTCTCGCCGCGGAGCCCCTAACCCCGCCGAATGCGAGAGAGACGCGACCGCCAGCCCGGCATCGGCACCAGACGCGCAATATGTCCAGCAGCCCGTCGGCCGACGCCCCAGAAGACAGGCATCTATAATCTGTTAGTCGCCCCCAGGGACATCTGTCGGCGGAACATCCAACTAGCGGCGTCCCCCGGCGGAGATGTGATTATCAATCCGGCGCTCGCGCGGCCGTCCGCTAACAGGTCTCATGTTTAGTTGATGCGAGAATTTCTCCTGGGAGGCGATTTCAATTACACGGCGGCATCAAGTTTTCAGCGGCGCGATTGATTCGTCCAATTTGTCGAGCCGTCGGTGGGGCGGCGCGCCGGCCGGCGGCAGGCCCCTCCCCCGCCGTCACGCCCCCAACATTGTCATTCTAATATATTCCGGAAACAAATTGAGTAGAAAGAAAAGCACTCGCGGGGGCCGCGCACGATTGAACAACTTGGAATAAAGTTAACTTTCCGACGTAAACGGCCGCTATAAACTTGAAGGAGTGGCGGCGCAGGCGGCGCAGGGCGACACCGCTGGAGATTTGCCGCCGGCCGAGACACGGCGGCGGCGTGGAACGACGTCAGTGGCGACCGCGGCGCCCGCCGGCCGCATTACAACGAGTCGGCGGCGGCGGCGGCGCGCCGCACCATTGATTGGCCGCCGCCTCCGCCGCCCCGTCGGGCGCGAGGTGTTCGCAGCGCGCTCGATGTTCCGCCACAGACGCGTCCCATCTCGGCCTGGCGCCGCTCCCATACGCTCGATTGATTTCAATTAGTGTATTGCGGCATCGGCGGGTCGGCGGGGAGGCCACAGGCCGGGGTCGCCCGGTGCTCCCGGAGCGGGCGCCGGGGCCGGGAGCAGCTCCTCGGAGCGCCAGCGTCCCAGGCGCACACGCTCGGTACAAAGCCCGGGTTGGCGGAGCACGAGCGGGCGGCGGCCGCGCCGACCAGCGCCACCGCTGGTACGGTTGACGCCGGCCACCCTGGCCGGCCGACATGATGGGAATGAGACGACACCGCCAGCGCGCACACGATGATGCAGATGAGGTGACAGTGATCCGCCCGGCCGCGCTACTCGATCTCCCCCAGGTAGATCTGCTTGTCGCTGGAGCAGGACGCCACTGGCGGCAGAGGGTACGTTCGTCAGACACGCGTGGCGCCGCCGACCGGCCGGGACGGATCATCCACCGACATCGGGGATGGGGGTGCGATCCGCCCCGCCGCGTTACTCCATCTCCCCCAGGTAGATCTGCTTGTCGCTGCAGCAGGACGCCACTGGCGGCAGAGGGTACGTTCGTCAGGCACGCGTGGCGCCGCCGACCGGCCGGGACGGATCATCCACCGACATCGGGGATGGGGGTGCGATCCGCCCCGCCGCGTTACTCCATCTTCCCCAGGTAGATCTGCTTGTCGCTGCAGCAGGACGCCACTGACGGCAGAGACGACAGGGCGCCACGCGTGCCTGACGGTTCGTCGGGCACGCGTGGCGCCGCCGACCGGCCGGGACGGACCATCCGCCGATATCGGGGGTGTGTTGCAACGTAGATATTCCTTAATACGTGACGGCACATATGATCTTGGTCGGACGCGTTCGCGGCGCGGGCCGCTTTCTGTTTACACTTTCGTAAACCTAGAAAAATAAAAGCACATGTGGGGTACTAGCAAGTTTCTTCGCCCGACGACGCGTGCACCTTACCCATGGTAACGGTAAACCACGGTATTTCATGGATGGAAGGATTGTTGTGACTTCTGTTCTCGTCTGGTGAGATCGTAAGCAAACGGCGCTCCGGCCGTTGCCTCTTCGCCTGTCATCAGCTGTTGCTGAATCCTGCGAAAGACTGGGTGGGGTTTCGCTTTCTGCCATGCGCACGACACAACCAGACTTTTCTCTCTGCAGTTGTTGGGATATGAGCTGGGTCCTCTGATTATGAGTCTCTACCACTAATTTACCCCTCCTCTGCCACGGCGTTTGTCGGAAAGGCAAAAAGGGTGGGTCAGTATTTTCCGGTTAGCTCAGTGGTAGAGCACTAGACTTGTGATCACAGCCGGCCCGAATCCCCGCATTTACAAGGAGGACATTCGGATGGAGATGCGCACATGGCTGAAGGCCAAGTTCGCGGCACTATCCCGCCCTTCCCGGGACTCCATATCATCTGGCGACGGCTTGGGAATCAACTGACTGAAACGTTCTGTAAACACCAACGCACGAGACGGGGACGATGGTCCGAAGTTATCTCATCCATGATACTAATATCTCGTCTCAATCATATCATTAAGCCAAAACTACGCTGTTTCTAGCGTATGGCACGCTTTTCCTTCATCCATCTTCAGTTGTGGGCGCACAGACTAACCTGTCTGTAAATGAATCTGCTGCTCCCTTTGTCTCACCTTGACCAAGCTACGAAAAAGAAGTTTCGCGCCCAACACAGATCATGCGTTACGTCAGGTAGAATTCTTATTGTCCGGGTCCCCGCAAACACCTAAAGGCGCAAGATCTTTGGGGCATAAATTCATGAAGTACGTCAACGGCACAGTCTTTGTTATTCAAGTCGCTGCGAATATGTCCTCGATCCTGGGTGTGTGGAAGGCCGGTAAGAGGCGCTAAGGCACAGGCAAGCATAACACCGACACTTTAATCAACTTTCAGTCCACGAATGCAGCCACTTGTTGCCCGTGTCATGAAGAATTGTTGCGCGTTTTGAATAATGGATGCTTGCTGGTACTCGGATTATGTTGCGATAACAGCCGCTGAACGGGAAATCAGCTTTCCGCCGCGACCATTCGGTGATCGTCACTTCTGTCCCCAAGCGCTTGTCGCTCATAATCCTGACCCAAATGTTATGTCGGAACGGTAATAAGCCGCCGATGGCTGTGCAGGAGTGAACATCGAGCAGCCGTACCAGAAACATGGAAAGATCGTCAAATGTTTATCTGGTTTCATCATCACGCAATCAATCCTAAACGTCCGTTTGCCGGCGGATGTAGTTTGTACATGGTGGCGACCGCTTTTTCCGGCGATGGATCCGGCTGAGCCGCATCAATGGTCAACGGCGTGCGACTCATGTCGGCTATTTCTGTGAACTAGCTTACGTTAGAAGCGTTACACGCAAGAAGCTCGATGAAGTCCAGAGGATAGCATAGATCTACCGATTTATGAAAATAGCCAACGCCTGGCTCAGTACTTTATGACATTAAGTAAACAACATACTAATAAACAATCATACGCCAATACATTGCTACCTAGTACCAGTGCAGTTGGCGTCTTTTAACACACGCATGAGCTCAAAGTTAAGTCGTGCCAATCCCTGTATCGTCAATTGCATTGACCAGGAATACACCTCACCCGGTTAAGACTACATTCCGGTATAAACTGAAGAGTCAAAAAAGTAAAACCGTATTTCGTTTTTTGACGCCTATCACTTGGGGCAAGGTTACACAAAATGAGTTGGTGGGATGAACAGCAAAAAATAGTTCAGTCTAACCCCCCACAAAAAAACGCCAACAAACGGGTATTTCCCCGGATTTCACCCACTTTGTTTTCAACGTTGGGGCGTGGAGGACCCAATACCACAACAGCATGAACAAATCTATTTTTTGTTGTAATATCCGTGTGAGACTCCACACCTTGAGCCTTCGACCCTGGACTATGCCTTAAGCAATGCACCATTAGAGACCCCACGAGGAATTAAAACGCAAGTACTGCCACAGACAGATTGGTATTCATTTTGTAGTAGCCTCCGTCATGACACCGTCAGATGCATGCCACTAATGTAATATTTACAGACACCCTCAGATGCATGCCATTAATGTAATATTCACAGACACCTTCAGATGCGTGTCATTAATGTAATATTTACAGATATCTTCAGATGCATGCCACTAATGTAATATTTGCAGACACCTTCAGATGCACGCCACTAATGTAATATTTACAGACACCTCCAGATGCATGCCATTAATGTAATATTTACAGACACCTTCAGATGCATACTATTATTGTAATATTTACAGACACCTTCAGATGCATGCCATTAATGCAATATTTACAGAAACCTTCAGATGCATGCCATTCATGCATTATTTACAGGCACCTTCAGATGCATGCCATTAATCCAATATTTACAAGGTATTCAGCCAATATCAACATTAGTCAATTGCACCAAATGCATTGGCCAATTGCACCTGTAATTTACTTGGCGATGATGCTCATCGCCAAGTGAATTACAGGCGCTTCCGTCACCTCACTTCCAATGAGTTGCCAGTCAGAATTGCAGCAAGCCATGTTGAAGCAGTTGGCTGCGCTTTGGCCGGCTGAACCGGACATTGCTACGCTTTATTAAACGACACTCCCGTAATTGTATGTGACTGCAATGGCTCAATATCATGGACGAGGTGTCAACTATGCACTGTAAACACATTTGTGGCATGTTATCTGTAACGAGTGGGGAGACCCCAACACGTTCTCCAAGCTATACCATTAGCATGCTGACATTACACTGGCAGTACTGGAAAAAAGTATATAAACTAACATTTAAGCTCAAATTTAAGATCATTCGAGTAGGAACAAGCACTGAAATCGCTGGCTTTTTGTCTGGTTCCCACTGGCAACATAACGTTTGGAAACTCCTCACTGCAGAACAAAATGTATATCAGTTGCGCGCTGGAACACATGGCCACGAAACATTACAAAGACATGCCCATCAACTAATGTGTGACAGTTTAGCATATAATCATACCAAAATTAAATGTGCACTACTAATTATGTCTTCCTGTATTACAGTGCAGCCTTGATTTCCGGTGCCAAGCTCAAGGGTTTTCTGCACAATCTTCACCTTGTGCAAAACAGTGACCAGACCTTGGGCCAATGACAAACTGGTACCGTAAGATGTGGACACCTCCTCGGTGGCCAATTCAATACCGGCCGCCTTTGTGCTTGTCTCCTGGACGAAGAAATCGTCTCTAAAAATGCCATTTGCGAATATGATCCATTCTTAAAGGGAGTGTTGCGTATTTGTATGAGGGTTTGAACTGAAATAGCCATCGTGAGAATCCTTCGGTACAGTTCACAGCCCTCCCCTTCTTAAAAACCTAAGCCCCCCCCCCCCCCCCCCTCTCAGTTTCTGAGCTACACGATCACGATGTGCAATTATTTCGGGATACTATTCCAAGGTCACCCAGGCACCCGTAACGCCATCATAACAGGCATGCAAATTTTGCCATTCTATTAGCCATGCGGCAATCAAGGCTACGACAAACAAATTGTCCAGCCGTTCATAGCTGGCGTTCGTTAGCACAATGCCTAAATATAACGGCTATCAATCGTCTTTCAATCAATGTTGTGCAAGGTACCATGATGCAATCGATCAATGACGTATTCAGGAGCATACTTATTAAGAAGAAAACCTGCGTCGTCTAGTTTTGCCACTAACAGATTTACCAAAAATTATAGGAGAGCTTTTTCAGCACATCTAATGCTTCCTCACATCTCCAAATGTGGAGCATTCCCTTTAATCGTCAAGCAATAGTTTCAAAAGAGCTTTATCCCCATATGTGGAGAAAACATTTTGATTCTTCCCTTTACAGCATTTTGACTCTTCTACTCCCTAAGAGGATTTCCTTCTTCCATTGAACAATACCCGTTTCGGGAATCAAATCGTTGAACAAATCCCCACCGCCCACACAGCACACGTTCAGTATAACCCACAGAGCCTGAAGCCGAGTGGCCCACCGCCGACTCCCGTCTCCACTTGCTGACGTCACAACAATCGGTGGCCGGTACACCCACACACAGCACACGCGCAGCATAACCCACGGAATCTGATGCCGGGCGGCCAACCGCCGACTCCTGTCTCCGCCTGCTGACGTCACAACAATCGGTGGCCCGCCCGCCAGTCAAACAACCGCCAATAACGTTTCAGTGACTCAAGAAAAATGTCTTATGCGTTTATAAGTCAAAAGTTAATAGCATTTTCTTTCACATGAAGACATAAATCCTCACGTGTATTCAGCCAGCCGGTCCATTGGTGCTGTCTTTGCAATATCCAGTCATCCTGTCCGAAAAGGTCCGTTACGGTAACCTGTTCATAACCAGCAGGAAGTTGCAATATCCTAGTTTATGCACCCAGGTTTCGTCCACTTCGTTTCCCACCTGAGTGACGAAAAATGGCATGAATTTTGACAGCTGCCTGCAGCTTCAAGTGCACTAGCACAAGCCAACCGGAAGGTTTGCCCACCCACCTACAGCGTTACTATTCATACTATTGTTGGCCATCAAAATACGCATGCACGCTCATAACACCATTATAAGTAACATCACGCTAAAGCATGACTGTTCTTTCACTGTGACACCAATGCCAGCAGTTGTGCATTTATATTTAATCTATAATGACATTAAGCTGCTTCTTTACTGCAAAAAGTGAACAACAAATCTGCTTCAGTTCAATTCTTGTCTGTTTATGAGGCAAATATTTGCAGTCACTACGCAACAACTAAGGATGACTTCAGTGAGGTCAGCGAAAGCGTTGAGTGACAATGGTCACACCATGTCAGTCTTGCATTGCTAGCTCTCCTCGAATACTGCCCGCCTTTGTACCTGAGCACTCCTCAGCACGCCCTGGCATGCAGTCCCATGCGTCATGAAGTAGCTTAGGTGACTGCGGGTAGGACCTAAGTGCGGCTGGTGTAATTCGCATTTGCATTTCATAACTGTGCCACCACACGATCAAGCGGGCAATGCTTTCAGTTTGATTAAAGCACGAATAGCAACATGTGCCGGCCGAAATCAAATTGCTGATAAAGGCTGGCCCAAAACGGAAATCCGGGAGTCAGAATCTGGCGTGCTGAGCAACCCAGTGGTGCATGTTTACACAATCTGAAGCACAAAAACAAAACAAACCGGACAGTTTACTCGTCACGCGCTGCAGTATGCGGTGACGGGGATCCCGGACAAGTTCACCTGCGCCGCTGCGGCGCGTGTCGGAGCCTGCCCGGCGCCTGGCCGGAGGAGCCCGGTCCGGTCCGCCGCGGGTGACCACGTGGAGGCACGCTCCGCTCTGGTCTACTCACAGATGGGCTCTGTCGGGTGGAAGCGGCAGTCGTTGACGCTGCCGTTGTGACCGGGCAGCTTGTACAGGATTCGCCGGCTGGTCGTGTCCCAGATGTACAGGTAGCGGTCAGAGCTACCGGCCGTTACCTTTCTGCCATCTGGCGACCAGTCGCACCGTAACAAGTTCTGAAAATAGACAAAAGGTGTCAGGTGCTACGCACGGTCTGTGGCTTTCAGGCCTGACCATGTAGGCCTCTTCCTCATCCACGCCATTTGCCGACGCATAACAGTTAACACCTCTTTCAGCAACGATACAAAGCATCAAGCCAGTCTGCCACAATGAGAGCACCAAATTGGATGAGCATGAACCACACTCGCGAACCACACAATACGAGCCGCAAATGTAATCTTTGAATAATTGGTCCCGGTCACAGCTACACAACACGCACCACACAGACAGCATTGCTACATTTACAGCCGGCCACGTGTGGAAAAAGAACACCGATCTCAGAGCTGTAAGTCCGGTGGACGGGCCGCCCCATCGCCGGACCGGGACAGCCGACCTTCTCGAAGTTGTGCTGGTGGCCGGTGAGAATCTTGAGGCAGCGCTCACTGGGCGCGAACGGGCGCACGTCCCAGATTCTCAGCGAGTTGTCCATGGCGTTGGTGAGCAGGTACGACCCGTCCGGCGACACGGACATGCCCGTCACTGTGTCTGAGTGTCCCTTCATCCGGTACAGCACGGCGTTCTTGCGCAGGTCCCACACCTGGGCGGCCGACACCCCAAACGTTAGTAACGACGTGTGGCAGACGTCACTGCCATGGAAACCGCACGTGCACAACAACATAAAGCGGCCACAGGCGTCAGCAGTCTCTGCTGCGAATCCACCCCTCCCGCAGGGTCGCCGCTGTCCCGGCCCGACCGACCTTGACCTCGTTGTCGAGCCCGCTGGAGAACACTTGCTCGGCAGTGTCGTTGAAGGAAACGGCCGTGACCTGGTAGGTGGTCTGGAGGGTGGCGCTGGGCGTCTTCTTGCGACCGTCCCAGACCCGCACGGTCGAGTCGTCGCCGCCTGAGCAGAGCTGGGTCGGCCCACGCCGCGCCGCCGACACCGCGTTCACGAACGTCGTGTGACCTGGCCACGGTGTGGGCGGGGGGGGGGGGGGGAGGGCGAAACGCCAGTCAGGCAGAGGTAGATCCGACGCAGCTTAAACGCCGCCTGCGCCGACCACCGTGGCCTGCTCTACAGCTCCAACCGAGGGACCCTCTAGCTCCGGACGCCTGAGTGGGGTAGGACAGCCACTGGATTGAGGGGGACGACAGGCTGGGCTGGGACGGCTACAAAGCAAGTGAGCGGCCACATAATGTCACAAATCGAGCCGACACTGACACAACTGGCGACCAGAGCAAGTAACGGAGAATGCAACTGCAACTAACCTCAGTGCCAGTAACGCCATGGCGAGCCCAGCTGTCATTTGCCATTGGGGCTTTACGACGCACTAAGGGGCTAAGGCTACGTGGCGTCGCCAGTCTCTCACCCTGGCGGGAAGGGTGGGCACCGCGGGAAATCGGACCACGAACCTCTGGTTTCCTACATGCCCAGCTGAACCTCTTCACTACCGGGACCGCGAGGCGCGCCGTTGGATCCGCTCGGCGCCAGCGCTCAGACGCCACGCCGGCTGGCAGAGACCCGCCCCGCCCAGACGGCCCCGGGCGCTCACCACGCAGTTTTCGGACACGCAGGCCGCTGACCACATCCCAGATCGCCACCGTTTTGTCGGTGCTGGCCGTGTAGAGCCGGTCGCCGTCGGTGGAGAAGCACAGCTCCATCACGGCCCCCGTGTGGCCCGCCATGCAGGCGAAGTTCTCACACTCTCCGTACGTGTTCCACAGCACTGGCGGTCAGACAGCCGCGGTACAGTCAAACGGCCGCGGTACAGTCAAACGGCCGCGGTACGGTCAGACGGCCGCAGTACGGTCAGGTGGCCGCGGTACGGTCAAACGGCTGCGGTGCGGTCAGATGGCCGCGGTACGGTCAAACAGCCGCGGTACGGTCAAACGGCCGCGGTACGGTCAGGCGGCGGTGGTACGGTCAGGTGGCGGCGGCACGGTCACACGGCCGCGGTACGGTCAAACAGCTGCGGTACGGTCAAACGGCCGCGGTGCGGTCAGGTGGCGGCGGTACGGTCAGGTGGCGGCGGTACGGTCAGGTGGCGGTGGTACGGTCAGGTGGCGGTGGTACGGTCAGGCGGCGGCGGTACGGTCAGGTTGGCGCGGTACGTCAAACGGCCGCGTAGGGTCAGGTGGCGGCGTACGGTCAGGTGGCGGCGGTACGGTCAACGCCGCGGTACGGTCAGGTGGCGGCGGTACGGTCAGGTGCGGCGGTACGGTCAGGTGGCGGCGGTACGGTCAGGTGGCGGTGGTACAGTCAGGTGGCGGTGGTACGGTCAGGTGGCGGAGGTACGGTCAGGTCGCGGCGGTACGGTCAGGTGGCGGCGGTACGGTCAAACGGCCGCGGTACGGTCAGGTGGCGGCGGTACGGTCAGGGGCGGCGGTACGGTCAGGTGGCGGCGGTACGGTCAAACGGCCGCGGTACGGTCAGGTGGCGGCGGTACGGTCAGGTGGCGGCGGTACGGTCAGGTGGCGGTGGTACGGTCAGGTGGCGGCGGTACGGTCAGGTGGCGGCGGTACGGTCAGGTGGCGGCGGTACGGTCAGGTGGCGGCGGTACGGTCAGGTGGCGGCGGTACAGGTCAGGTGGCGGCGGTCAGTCGTGTCCGGTACGGTCAGGTGGCGGCGGTACGGTCAGATGGCAGCCATGGCGGAGTCGCCTGCTCACAGGTCATCTTGGGACGCACAGCACAAACACACCCCGAACACGACTGCCGGCACACCCCAACATCAGCTTCACGGAATATGAAGCTAAGCGTATTACTAATCTCATCGTGATAACCTTAATTTGCATTTCTAAAACGCACTTTCTAACGCCCTAAAATAGTCACCATATTACCTTAAGTGCGCTGCATGGCAGCCATGGCACAGTTCAAGCCCATCCCCACAATATTCACCTTGGCAATCTGTTAATTTTCTGGACGTTCGGCATCATAAATTCTGTCTACAGATACGTGTCTATAGATGAGTATAAAATGCAATACGAATTTAGCTCACTGTTTTACACGTCTAGGGGAAATTCTACACGAACCAACAACATCAAGGATTATTGGGCAGGTGACCAACGCATCAGAAGACCCATGGAAAATTTCGCGGCCATCACTGCTCTGTGCACACTTCCCGGTGGAACGCAATAGCCCTCCCCAGAGGGGGGGGGGGGGGGGGCGTCAGAGCTCGGGGCCGGGGGCGTGTCTCACGTATTTGTCGGTCGAAGCCTGTGGAGGCGAGGAACTGGCCCTCCGGGTGGAACCTAGTTGCAAATATGTCGCCGCTGTGCCCGGTCAGCAGCATGATGGGCGCCAGCAGGCTGGAGGTGCGCGCTGGCCCCTGCGTCTGATGGAACCGACACCCACCTCCAGTCAGCGCCGGTACACACCGCTAGGCCGGCCACCAACGGCGGCGGCAGCAGCAGTGGCATGCATACTCAGCTGGTGCATTCGGTGCCTAAGTCAATTCCAACTAAGTAAGAGCAAACTATTTTTTCAACAATGGTTTATTTGGTTTTCTCCAGGTTCTACACTGATGACAGCCAAATGGGCATCAGCATCAATACACCCCATGCCTTTGCTGCAGTTGCATCACACAATATATTGTAGCAAACCTGGATATTGTATTATGGTATGTATTGGTATGTATGGTATGTCACTCTCTCTTGCTCTCTGCACTCCCAGGCCCCCACGCCCTTACGCCCGCTACCTATCCCCTCTTCCCCTCCCCTCCCCCTCCTCCATCCCCCTCCGCTCCCGCTCAGCGCTCCCTCCGCTCCCGCCTCCCGCTCCCGATTCCCGCTCCCGCTCCCGCTCCCGCTCCCGATCCGCTCACGCTCCGCTCCCGCTCCAGCTCCCGTCCCGATCCCGCCCCGCTCAAGCTCCCGATCACCGCTCCCGATCCCGCTCCGCTCCCGCTCACGCTTCCCGCCCCGCCCCGCTCCCGCTCCCGCTCCACCGCTCCCGCTCACTCCCTCTCTCTAATCTCTCTCTCTCTCTCTCTCTTCTCCTCTCTCTCTCTCTCTCTGGAGTCTTACATAGGGCTGGGCCCACTCATTACTGGCACCAGATGTGGCCAGTATGCCAGTCTTCTGTGTTTTCTTCTTGGCTGCCACCATCTGCAGTTAATTTGCCCGTTTCTCTTCTCAGTCATTGTATGGAACTGGCTTCCCCTGTGTAGCAGATCACACAACAGGAGTCAGACAAGTGGACAGTTTGATGAAGATGATGAAGATGTGGGACAGATGGGACTCTTTCTATTTTAAAGCAATGTTTGGTATGATTTTACCATGAACAGGAAAGAGGCTGTTGATTGGTAATACCTAAAAAAACCCTAACCACCACATCAGTACCATAAAGTGGGACCTGTTTGATATGCAAAGATAAAGTGGAACAGGCTTTATGCAGAGCAGTTGATGAAACTCAGCAGATTTGACAGATGCACAGCAAATAATATAAATGAATGATCACAAATGATTTCATAAATCAAATAAGGACATGAAATATTATCCCACTTACTTAATTCAAAGCTGAAGTAGAGTTTCAACTACATTTTACATTAGGCAAATTAATTATTCACTTATACACAAATGTATGCATCAAAACCCATGCTAACACATTCATTTATGAAGTGAGACCATGTTTGCCTTACAAAATAAAAAGAGCAGACGTTGCAAAACAGTCTGCAAAACTCAGCAGATTTCAAACATGCATAGTGTGGGGTTATGTGAGATATGCTAGGGTATGCAAGATTTGAGATATGCCTTTCCATAACATAATAAACACTATCTTAAGGAGTTTCAAGTCATACAGATTGGATGCACATAGAATACACAATATGACCTACATCACTCATGCACATCTATAATGCAAATTAACAAATAACATCATTCAATTAAACCTGAAACCAGCCAAAACAGTGATACTGTAATAATGACAGGCAATAGCAGAGAATAAGGACAAGAAAGAACATGCTTTGGGCACTCAAGAGAGCACTGGTAACTAAAATTTGAAGGCATTGTATTGTAGCCATGATGAATGACAGTAATTACATCAGGGTTGTCCATAACTATGATACACAAAGAGGGGAAGAGGGGGTACTGATGGAGCATTACAGAAACATAACAGAGAGGGAAGGGGCACTTTGGTTAATGTAAGCCTATAGATAGTCAGACATGATTGCAGATAATGCTGAAATCTTCAACAACAAAAAATCAAACTGCAAACCTTGACATTGTTGCCTTTCTCTCATGATAGGTACTATTTGCCACTATTGCCATGCCACTATTTTTCTTGCTTCTCTAGCCCAGTTAAGGGTTGACAGCCACCCCCTTTTAAGATGCTGCACTTATCTCAGTTGTGGAGTAAACAGGAGTAGGTACAAGGAGGTTTACCAAGGAAAACCATTACTAGCGAGTGACAAGAAAAATGGCTAAAAAGTGGCACCAAATGTGTAACACTTCATGGACTGCCCAATTTAACTCCCAAATGCTGACATGTGCTTTCCATGCCTCAACTTCCTCTTTCCTATATCAAGGATTGCTGAAAGTATAATAAAATATTTCATGCATTCTTGTTACCTTGGCCCCATACATTTTTATGGTTCTTGATGCTGCTTGCTGCGCAGCAATGTGACCGCGCGCAGTAATGGCGCCGGTGTCGCGGCCGCTGTGTGTGCGCGGCGCTCGGGAGTTCGCCATTGTAACTATAAAAAAATTTGAAGGTAAGAGCATGAATCTACCTGTTTTGTGATCATTTACGATATGTCCTGCCTTAAACACAACAAATGGTGTACAATGATTTTTTCTAATGTTGGGTAGGAAAGTACACCCTGACCGTAAGTAATCTAAAAACAGGTAGATTCATGCTCCTACCTTCACATTTTAACATTTATGATAGCGAGCTCCCGAGCGCCGCACGCACCCCACTGCCTCGACTCCCCAGCGCTGTTTCTGCGTTGCCGCTGCATAATTATAATGTTTCTGCTTATCAAGAACCATACAAAATGTACGAGACCAAGGTAACAATAATAATGCAATGAAAAACGTTTCTTATCGCGTCTAGGTACGTTTATGAAACAGACAGGCCAGAATAGTCCAGAACATAGCCTAAACTGAACTAGTCCAACCTAACCTAACCTAATTTAATGTAACCTAACCTGGCCTAGCCTAACAACCTAACCTAACCAAACCTGACCTAACCTGACCTGACCTGACCTGACCTGACCTAACCTAACCTAGTCTAGCATAGTCCATCAAGAACCATACAAAATGTATGGGACCAAGGTAACAATAATGCAATGAAAAATGTTTCTTATCGCGTCTAGGTACGTTTATGAAACGGACAGGCCAGAATAGTCCAGAACATAGCCTAAACTGAACTAGTCCAACCTAACCCAACCTAACCTAACCTAACCTAATTTAATGTAACCTAACCTGGCCTAGCCTAACAACTAACCTAACCTAACCTAACCTAACCTGACCTGACCTGACCTGACTACCTGACCTGACCTGACCTGACCTAACCTAACCTAACCTAACCCAGTCTAGCATAGCCAGTAATTTTTTTACTTTGGTACCTGTACGGCCGACGGAGGGAAGAGCTACGCTGGCTGCAGGGTTTCGAGTACTGGTGTGCTGGGGAAATGCTGAGGCATCAGCTGTCATTGTGACGTCACTGAAAATGGTTTTGCATAGATCGGGATCGTGTTTTTTTGGGGGGGGCCGACTGAAGGCCAAAAAACTTTTGCTAGTGATATGTCACTGGTATTCGGCTGGGTATGTGACGTCACTGGTCGTGAGTTTTTAAGGCTCTTTTGGGTCCACTGAATGCCGTAAGGCATCAGCTGGCGATGTGTCGTCACTGGTATTCGATTAGACATCAGGCGCGTCCGGCCTCATTCCGTGTTTACTTTTCGTACCTGTCTACTGCAAGCATTTGCGTGCCGCATAAAGGTTCGACCGAATCACCTGAATGTGTGATGTCACCAATTATCACTTAATACGAGTGCACTTAGGCCCCACGGCCACGGTGTGCTATGGTCCGCGAAGTATCACCGGATAGCGTGACGTCACTGGTATTCGAATAAATACTGGGTGCAACAGGCCGTGCTTCATTTTTTCCTCTGAACCCGTCTACTGCAAGCACTGACGTGCTGGATGAAAGCTGCCGAACCACCTGAGTGTGTGACGTCACTGGCCATGAGTTTCACCGGTGCTTTTGGGCCAACTGAAGGTCACAAGGTGTCAGCTAACGACGTCACTGCCATATGACTGATTGTACGACGTCAATGGTCGTGGGTTTTCACGGGCCCTTTAGGACCGACGAAATGCCGTAAGGCATCAGCTGGCGATATGAAGTCACTGGTATTCGGCTGAACATCAGGTAACGGCCATGCTCCATCTACACCTTTCGTACATGTCTACTGCAAGTATTGGCGGATTTTTTGCGGCCAATTGAAGACCATAAAGCATCAGCTAAGGATGTGACGTCACTGGCATTCGACTGTGCGTGATGTCACTGGTCATGAGATTGGTCGGCCTCTTGTGGGCCGGCGAAGGTCATACGGCATTAACTGATGATGTGACGTCACTGGTGTTCGAATAAACTTCAGGCGCGGCAGGCCATGTTCCACCTTTACCCTTGGTACATGTCCATTGCAAGCATTGCCGTGCTGCAGGAAGGCTCTGCCGAATTACCGTCGACACGAATAACGTCACTGACCATTAATTTGTATACTCTTTTGAGCCCACTATAGGTCACAAGGCATCAGCTGACGATATGACGTCACTGGGTCTCGACTAGACATCATGCGCAACAGGCCATGCTCTACCTTTACTTTTTGTACCTGTGTGCTGCAAGCATTCGAGTGCTACACCAAGGCGATGCTGAATCATATCAGTGTGTGACGTCACTGGTCATGAGTTTATACTGGTTCACCTGGGCCGCCCAAGTCCACAAAACATAATATCCCGTGGAGTGTCACGGGAAGATATCACATCAATGGCATTCGGCTTAACATCAAACGCAACAGGTCATGCTCCATCTTTACCTTCGGTACCTGTCTCTTGGAAGTATTGGCGTGCTGAATGAAGGCTCTGTCGAATCTCCTGAGTGTGTAACGTCATTGGTCAAGAGCTTTTTACGGGATCTTTTGTACCCCTTATACGGTATAATGCATCAGCTTACGATATGACGTCACTGGCGTTCGACTTAACATCAGGCGCAACAGGTCCTGTTTCATTTTTGCCTTTCGTACCTGTAAACCTATTGGCGAGCTAAATGATAGCTCTGTCGAATCACCTGAGTGTGCGACGTCTTGGGTTTTTACAGGCTATTTTTGGCTGAGTGAAAGCCATCAAGCATCAGCTAACGATGTGTCGTCACTGGTAGTCCACTGACTGTGTGACGTCACTGGCCATGAGGTTTTACATGCCTTTTTGGACCGACTTTACGCCGTTAGGCATTAGATAAAATATGACGTCAATGGTATTCAACTAAATATCAGATGTAATAAGCCATGTTTCGTCTGTACCTTTCGCACCTATTTGCTGCAAGTATTCGCGCGATACATAGAGGCTCTGCCGAATTACCTGAGCGTATGGTGTAACTAGTTATGAGTTAACGCGGGTTTGCTCGGGCTGACTGAAGCACATAAAGCATCAGCTGACGATATAACGTCACTGGTATTCGACCAAACTCCAGGCGCGACACGCCATGTTCCATCTTTACCTTTCGTACCTGTCTATTGCCAGCGTTGGAGCGCTGAATGAAGGCGCTGTCGAGTCTCCTGAGTGTGTAACGTCATTGGTCATGACTTTTACGGGTTCATTTCAAGCCCCTATACGGCATAATGCATCAGCTGACGATATGACGTCACTGGTGTCCGACTTAATATCAGGCGCAACAGGCCGTGTTCTATCTTTACCTTCCGTACCTGTCTATTACAAGTATTGACGTGCTGAATGAAGGCTCTGTCGAGTCTCCTGAGTGTGGGTGAACACTCAGGTGAATCGGCAAAGCCTTCATATAGCACGTGATGCTTGCAGTAGCCAGGTACGAAAAGTAAAGATGGAACATGGCCTGTTGCGCCTGAGGTTAAGTCAAATACCAGTGACGT